TCACAGGTGCTGTCCGGTTTCCTCTGCTCCCACGGCCCGCATGCAGCATCTCAGTAAAGCATGGACCTGCAGCCCGGGCAGGTTCTGGCTTCCCCACTAACAGTGAGCTTGGTGCTGCCTGCAGCATGGACGGCCTCGCTCGGGTCACAGTGTGCATGGTGCTGCTAGCTCTCGTTAACCTTAAACTGAAGAGGCTTTTACTTGTCCTAACAGGTATCTCGCTCTAAAAACTGTGCATTGTAACTGTTCTTTCCCACTGATGGCTGAAGCCTTGTCCGAGTACAAGATGGTATTTTTCATTGGTATGAAGCACCGTGTTCTCCAGCCCAAAGCCTGCCGCCTCCACCATCACTATGTTCAGACAAAGGAGAGCTCCTCTGTCTTGTCCCCATACGCGAGAACAAGTCAGTGCACTCGCCATCATTTTTCCCATGCGTAGCATTTCCTTTTCTTTTTCTGCCCATTGCATCGCTGTTGTTTTCCGAATTGCTTCATGACCAACAGCGAAGTCGATGTTGAGTTGCTTGTAACACTTTTCTTGAAGGAATTTGGCCTCAGAAGCACGTGTGCCGTGTGCCTTAGCCACGACAACCCGAGTGATCCAGAAGAGGCTAATGCGCTGGGTTGCGAACCCTGTGTCTGGTTCTCTGTGGAATGTTGTCACTGCGATTAAACATTGTTCGCTTTTTCCACACAGCCCATCGGGGTGGGGTGAGCTTAGTTTCAGGCTGGAGTGAGAAGCTGCCCTTACTGAACACCCAGTGCTCAGTGCGACACTGACAACTGGTTTTCAAAAACTGACAACCTCCAGAGAGAGTTCATTGTATTCTATTTTAAGAGGTCACTGTAGGTTTTAAAAAGAGCCTTTCAGCAGATGGATGACAACCCCATATGTAGTATCTTCTCTACGCGTGCCTTCAAAGCAGGTTCTGGGTACACAGAGATAAAAACTCCCATTTTAGAACCAAATACCAGGAGACCGGTCATGATTGCTAAGTGGCATGTAGACATTTAAAGAAATACAGCCAAATAAATAGCTGTTTGTGGGAACTGTTGTAGAATCAGCTAAGATAAATTTTAATAATTGCACTTTAGACATTTTTACAAAGCAGACTTGAGAAAGCATCTGTAGCCTCATTTTCATCAGTGTCCTCATTCTCAAATATTTAAACACTTAAGAAGCCAACTTGGGTTATGCCTCTTTGTAATTGTCAAGTTTTTTCATGCCCTCCTTGACAGGAAAAAACAATCTGAAAAACGGACATGACCAATTTATTGACCCATTGAAAATACAAAACAGGGCTAAGTGTTTTAAACAGTATTTTTTTTAACTTGAACAATGCTTTAGAAAATTCTCTCTTCCCAGATTTGCATGAGTTTGTTAACCCTCCTTACAGTGGGGACTCTGGCTGCCACTCGACGGCACCCCCTGCTCCCCCAGGTCTCCAGATGAAAACTCCCCCACCCCCACCCCCACAGAGGGGCCTGAGTTGGCTTGTTTATCACGACCTGTGTGACCTCTGCTGAGGGGCTGGCCCAGAGGATGCGGCCTGGATGCTGCACAGAAGCTCCACCAGTTCCCAGGCCAGGTAGTACATTGAAATCCATAAATGTGGCCACGCTCATTTGAAGTCTCACAATTGTTTGTGCCACAAGAATGTGCACATTTAAAGGGATTTTAAAAAGCAAGTATCAGCCTCCTAGGAGAGCAGGCGACTGAGTGTGTCCCCAGGCCATGGGGTGACATAAACTCTGTCTTCTAGACAGATTAGTGGTAGGGAAGAGGGTCTGGAAATCATTTGGAAGAGGTTTTTGAGAGTTGGTATCTGGAACTATAACTGAATGCCTAAAAAAAATTATTGAGATAGGAAAAGTAAAGTCTAAAAATATTTCAGACACATCTAGACTTTGAGGGGATGGTAGATCTTTTTCTCATCTCTTTAAACTTCTACCTACTGCCTTAATGTCCAGGTGCTTTCTCAGACGATCCCCCAAAATTGTTCACCTAGAGTCCCTTGATAAAAGAAACTCTTTTTGTGTTCATTTGTCATAAAGGAAAAAAAATGAACAGACCCAGGCATGAGTAGGTCCAGTGAGCAGCGGTCACTGCTCCTCTCGGCCCAGGCTGTGGTCCGAGCTGGTGACAGGCTGCACGAGGTGACCGGGCTTCCTGAGACCCTGTAAATCAAGCGGATACGTTTCCTCTGAACCACCACCCTGTCTGTTGGCTTTTTTGTAAAAGGGACAACTTCAGTGAAAACGGGCTCCGCGCACTTCTTAGCCCCTGGCTTCAGACCCCGCTCTGCCAGCTGCCAAGCGTGGGCCCACACAGACCCCGGTCGCTATGAGCCACGGTCCACACTGGCGCAAAGTCAGAAGAGCATTTACTCACCAAGCTCCCAGATTCTCCTCATTGCCCTCCTCAGCACATGTAGGTCATGACGATGGTAAACGAGTCGCTGGTTTTGTTGGTATCTCGTCCCCTGTGCATTTTCAAAGTCTGGAGTAGATTCTCTCGCCAGGGGAGAAAACAGCTGTTTTTGCATGAATGCAGCTCAAATCAGCAAACTGGAGCTTCAGGGTTTCAGACCTTTCTTTTCTGTGAGTTGCTGATGGGTTTCGAGGCCATGCTGTTTGGGGATCCGGCGCTCATGGCCTCAGTTCACACCAACCACCCCCTTCCCTTCTTAGGCCTGGTGAGAGGTCACACAGCCAGCTGAAGGAGTCCACAGTGGAGGGGCTCGGCGGCCTGGTTGGGGTCCTTCCCCAGGTCACATGCTGCTCATGCTGCGTGGGGCCTTGCTCTCATGTCCGGGTGCCCCCAAGCTGTGCCCCGGGCCACGGCTTGGCATGGAGCTCACTGTCACCTGCGCCAGGTGCTGCCACGTGTCTCCACGTGGCATACGTTGTCGGCGTCTTTGACATGTGACCTGCCTCTTAGCAGGCGGCACCTCTCCTGGCACTGCTCGCTTGTCCTCAGTCTGTTCCACGTGGACGCGCCCTGGGGTGTCCCAAGGGTAGTGGCTTATGGCCGATGGGCAGTGGGAGGGATGGTCCTTGAGCATGTGGCCATGTGGCCCTGTTTCTCCCTCGTCCTGGGGCGCCTCTCGGGCACCACCCCCACTGCTTCCTGCAGCCTCTAACTGCTTTTTATCCCTGGCTCCATCTCTTTCCACGCTGAGGTGAATGCTTTGCTCCACATCACTGCAAAGTCAAGTCCGAGCATGGCCCCTTAGAACGGCCTCCTGGCCGCACGCAGCTGCGAGCTGAAGTTAAGCCCCCGGGTCGCCAGGCTGCGCGGACGACTAAAGATACCTCTTCCGAAGCGCCTCGCAGATGCATGATTTGTTTTCAGCCCCAGAATTTCTCTTTTCTAACTCTTACTTGTAGTGATAACATTTGTCTCTTTTGTGACTTTTTTTTTAAAGAGACTAGAGTAGCACCTTGAAACAACTGCAGTTTTCTGTGTCAACTCTTTCTGCCTGACGAGTTCTGATTTTGCAAATCATTGTACTCAGTTGTGCACTAGTGTCAATAAAATTGACATTTGTGAAGCAATTTCTGGCCTTTTTCTCCGGGCGGTGCTGGGTCTGGTGGCGCGTGGGGTGACTGGGTCTTTGCTAACACCAGAGCTTCATGCCAGTGGCATATGTGTGAAGATTTAAAAATGGGTTTTTAAAACACTAACTTCTTAAGCCTGCCCTCTGCTTACTTTTCCTAACCTGTTCTGAAGGATCATTGCACTGACCCATGGCGGGTGCAGGACATCTGCTTTTGTTGTTTTCCCAGGAGTGGTGGCTCTTCAGGCCTGTGTGGGAGACCCGGCTTGCTGCTCAACCTGGGCGGGGGCGGCGGCTGGACGTGGTTTCTCCAGCCCCGTCAGGCCAGGACTACGGTCACCACCCTACTTCCTCAGCTCCATTCTACCTGTCCTATCTTGTGACTCAAAATGGATCTGAGTGAATCCCGAGGGAGAGGATAGAGGTCCAGAAAATGGGGTTACGCTGCAACACCCCACTTCACCTTCCTCTCAGAGACCCTTGTTAGTGTGCGAGTAGCAAGGAGCCTCAAACTGGAGAATGGAGAACGCACTGATGCTGTCGTCTTTTGGGGTGGCCACAGCCCGGGGCGGGGGGTGCTGACCCTTGTTTACACTGGTGGTGGCAGATCGCCTGAGGATGGCAGAGGGCTTAGGTCAGATGCAGCGGGCAGAAGCTGATTTTGCAACGTCCCATTTAGCTCTCACGGGTCGAGGTATTGCTATTTGCAAAATCCTGTTGGCAAAGGGTTTCATCTGCGTTGACCACAGCCCGTGTTCACACTGGGGGTCCCACGTGGCCACGTGATTGAACATGGTGTCCTTTTCAGAGGAGTCATGACGGACCTGTCACTTTTTGACTCACCCAGGGGCGTTGTGCTGACGTAATTGCCTCCAGCTTTGCATGATCACTTTGCCTCACTTTGCATGTACCTGTGACGCGAGTGTTTCTGTTCCAAACAGTGAGACGCGTGGAGTGCGCTACCAGGTACCCACCAGCTCGCTCTGTCTGTAGAATGGGGAGGCGGTGCTTTCTTAGCGGTGGCCGTTGCTCCCCAGACATAGTTGGGGAGCCGTGTGCCTCATAGCTTCTCGGTAGCCTAGTTCCGTTTTCTAGTCACTCCCCACGTCTCCTCGTGATAGCGATTCCATGTCATTCTTAGAAGCGCGGCGCTAGTTAGGACATGAAGACGCTCTCGGGGCTCCCTGTGCTTCTAACTGTTGCTGTCTCACCCCGCCCCCCCCCCCCGTTCCGTCACTGAGGCTTCGTTGAGTTAATGCTAGCTGGGTGTCCGGGAGGCGGCCGCCGCCATTAAACCAGATAACTGGACGGCGGGGAAGAGCCTCCTTTGCTCTCGGGCAGTCAAGGCTGTAAAGATTGGAAAAGGCCAACGCTGGCCGTAGAAGCAGGTCCCGGCAGAAGTTACTTTCTTTTCTTTAACACGTCTCGTCCCCCACACAGGCTCCCAGACGGGCAGTCCTCACTTGTCAGAGCTGTCCATCAGCTCACAGGGAGGAGCTCTGCCGCCCCACGTCATCCTGTCTCCCACTCTGAGCCCCAACACCAAGCAGGCGTCGCCCCTGGTCAGCCCGCTGCTCAACGACCAGGCGTGCCCCCGGACCGATGACGAGGAGGAGGGCCGCCGCAAGGTGGGGCCCCTTGCCCCCCCGCCCCCTACACACCTGCCCCATTCCTGGGCACCCACACCCTCAGCCCAGCTCCAGGACAAAGGCCACTGCCGCTCCCCTTGCAGCTCTTTCCTTGAAGGCTGCTTCCCTCTGCTGCTGCACTAATGCCCTTTCCAGGTGCCCGTTTCACGGGATCGTTCTGGGTGGTGGTTGCTGGGTTGACTCATGAGGGTCCTGGCCCCGGGACAATAGTCACATGGAAGAAACTAGACTTTCTCACCTTCAAAGTCCACTCCTCGTCTGCATCCTCTCCGCCCAGTGGGAGTCAGTAAGAGCGTATTTAGCCGCAGTCCCGGCTAACAGGACCGAGCTAGCCAGTATGGCTGTGAGCAGCATTTTCTTAGCAGGGGGCCTCCCGGCTCCGCCATGCAGCGTGACCCTCACGTCTTGTGTGCTTTCCCGGTTCTTGCAGCGGTTCCCAACCGACAAGGCGTACTTCATTGCCAAGGAGGTGTCCACCACCGAGAGGACTTACCTGAAGGACCTTGAAGTGATCACCTCGGTAGGTGTCCCAGTTCTCCAGGAGCAGTGAGTCACCTCATTTTTTCTCAATCAGTGCTCAGCATCAGGAGAGAAGCTGCATCTAATTAAATGCTGGCTTCTCGCGCCCCAGTTAGAAGGGCTTTTTGTCCTAGGTGATGAGATTAGACACAAACAGTGTATTTGCATAAGAATATGTAAGGTTTTTTATACTTGTGCTTTTTTTTTTTTTAAAGGTTTATTTATTTATGCATCCAGATCTTGGGTACAGGTCAGAGGGAGGTGAGAGGATTCCCCAGAGACAGAGTGGGGAGCAGAACAGGTGCATCCACTGAAGTACACTGCTGAGGGGACCAGCGGGCGGGTCAGGCCAGGTCTGCTGTGCCACTCAGCTCCCTGGCTGGGGGTCAAACTCGTGCTGTGGTAGCTTCATAGTGCTCAGCTTTAACCCGTTGTGCCACCAGGGAGGGCCCTAGCATTGCGCTTTAAGTGCAAAGAGAGGAAGTTTCTGAAGTGGAGGAGTTGAAATGTTCCTGAGAGCGTGCACGGGACTCCGGGTCTGCCTGGTCAGCTGCTGCTGCCTGGGTTGTTTGAGGGAGAACTCTGAGATAAAAGAAGCCTCCTTTCCTGGCTGGTAGTAAATTGTGCTGAGCCAGCAAGCCTGCCAGAAGGCTGCTTTTCAGTATTTTCATCAGTCCCAGAAGCAAATGCAGCCTGCAGCTGTGTCTCTGTCCCCTGGCGGCCCCGCGGGTGCAGGCGTAAGTAGCCTCAACTCTGGGAGAGGAGTGGCTGTGTGTGGCGGCCCTGGCCTCCTCCCTGCGGTTCAGCCACCGTTGTGCTCAGCGTTTTGGTTTTTTTTATATATATATATAAATATATATATATTTTTTTTTTTTTAAAGATTTATTTATTTGTACAGAACTGGGGTACAGGCCAGAGATGTGAAGGGTGAGAGGCTTCACCAGAGACAGAGTGGGGAGCAGAACAGGCAGATCCACAAAGTACACTGCTGAGGGGAGCAGCGGGCGGGTCAGGAGAGGTCTGCCGCGCCCTGTGGGTCACCTCCGGGACAGGCGGGGATCGAACTCATGCGGAAGTGGCTTAAGCTTCTTTGTGCTGTGCTTTAACCCGCTGCGCCACCAGGGAGGGCCCTATAAGTATATATTTTTTAAAGATTTATTTATTTGTGCATACAGAACTGGGGTACAGGCCAGAGGCTCAGGGGTGGCGAGAGGCTTCACCAGAGACAGAGTGGGGAGCAGAACAGGCAGATCGACGAAGTCCACTGCTGAGGGGAGCAGTGGGCAGGTCAGGCGAGGTCTGCCACGCCATGTGGTCACCTCCGGGGCAGGCGGGAATCGAACTCATGAGGAAGCGGCTTTAGATTCTCAGTACTGTGCTTTAACCCGCTGCACCACCAGGGAGGGCCTGTGCCCAGCGTTTTAACAGAGGCGCCAAGATGGCAAGTGTCCGCGGGACGAGCCCGAGGGAGCGAGCCAGTGGTCACCGGAAACTGGCCAGCGTGGGGTTTCCATGGGCGTCTCAGCAGCCCCGTAACAGATTCCTGGTGGCTTCTACCACGGATTGGTAGTAGAGTCCAGGAGGCAGGAGCAGGGGAGGGGGGGCTTCTCACCCCCTCTGATGGGAGCGGGCAGCAGCAGGAGGCCGGGGCTCCCCACAAGCCCCCAGCCCAGGTCGCCCCTGCCTCACGCCACCCCCGGGCTTGGCCCCACGACGGTCCACCTCTGAGCACCTCCCCTTTTCTTCCCAGTGGTTTCAAAGCACAGTGAGCAAAGAGGACTCCATGCCCGAAGCTTTGAAGAGCCTCATCTTCCCGAATTTTGAACCTTTGCACAAATTTCACACAAATTTTCTCAAGGAGATCGAGCAGCGACTGGCCGTGTGGTGAGTGTAACCGCGTCTGGTTATTGTCTCCCTCCCCAGACCCTCCTCCTCGCCCGCTGTTGCTGTGACTGCCAAACAGCTCGGGAAACGGGCTGCAGCAGGTCGGCCTTCAAGCGACTCTCAGTTAAGTGCAACGTGCACTGAGGTCACCCGCTTCGCCCCCTCGATTTACCCTCCCCCAATGCATTTCCTTGTGATACTGAAACGGGTGTCAGACAATGAAGACAGTTTGTATGCTGAGGGGACGCAGCAGGTTATAAAGAGGAGGGGCAGATAAGAGACTCTCTGAGGTGTTGGCAATGTTTCACTCACGGCTGCCCCAGGCAGTCCCTTGGGAAGCCTGTCTGCAGCAGCCCGCACACACTGGCCGTGACTCTAGGAATTTACCTTAAGACAGTGTACTTTCATACATGAAATGACACGTCAGAGAGATCCAAAGGTTGGGAGTCACCTACCAGTCGTGCCTAGCAGATCAGTCAAACGCGCCGTTGAGTGTGTCCAGCAAACTCAGAATGAAACATTAACCTGAGAGGAGAAGCGTGTGTGTGCTTAGTGCCAAACGCGAGCTCTGGCTCACCCTTGCTTCAAGTCGAACCTTTTACAGGAAACTCCAATTGTTTAAGACCATTGCAGGTAAACACGGGGTGGGGCGGGGGGATTGACTGTACTAAACATGAATGTGAAAATATCAGGAGAAGAATAGCAAAAGCCTTCTGGGTTTTCGACACAAATGAAAATCACTTACTGTGCCCTCTCTGCCGATTGGAAACTGATTTCCCGTGGTCTCGGAGGCATTTAGGGACTCCCTCGGGGGTCGGAGGAGCCCCAGGAGACCCGGGCCAGGGGATCTCATGCCAACAGGGCCGCACCCTGGACCGAGCAGGAGAGCTCGGTCACCCGCGGTGTTTTCCAGTTCATGGGAGGCGGTTCCTGCGCGGTCCTCCCCGGGAGTAAGGTCCTCCCCGTGACAGGAGGGGAGGCTTTGCTGAATTGCCCCAGGGAGGAAACAGCCAGGAAGGAGAAATGGCAGGTGTGAAGTGGGCCTCACTTGCAAAGGGGGGCGATTGGAAACTGCGAGCTGTGAGTGTGAGAGGACTTTTATCAGTGTTAAAAAACAAAACAAAACAAAACTCGACGAACTCTTGTTTTTACCTTCCTAAACTTTCCCTGGAAAGTCCTGTTGCGTGGCGTGTCCTGTGCGTGGCCTCATTCATACAAAGGTGAATGTTGTGACCTCAGGGTGGGGTCCAAGACCTTGCGGGCTGTGCCTTGTAGAAACTCACCGCGCAGATTGCTTTGCGCTGATTTAAGCAGAAACCCCCACACCACCGTGGGCTGGGGCCCCTCGAGCTGGTACCCCCACAGCAGTTCCAGAGGGCCCGGTGGCATCCCCCACTGGCACAGACCTGCGAGCCAGCGTGGAGGCTGTTGCCTGCAGAGAGCATCTGGCTCTGGGGATTCGCGCCAGGCTCACGCCCTCACATCCGACTTCACAGTTGCTTACAAAATCGAGGTTTTACTGAGGTTTTACACGCAGATCCCAGAAGCACGCGGCAGACTGACCTGAGAGCAGGTGGTCAGTCTGGGGCTCCCTCAGCCAAGCCAAGCTGGTGACGTTTCCAGGAATAAATGTCAACGTCAGAGACTCAGTTCCGCCCCTCACGCCCTCCGGTGCATGCGGGGGAAGGTCTGGGCTGGGCTGGGGCAGGCGGACCGAGGGAGGACAAGCCCAGTGTGCAGCAGCAGGAGAGAAGCCGGTCGCCACCTGTCTCTCCACTCGCCGCTCATCACTGAAACCACCTGGAACTTTTGCAAACGCTTAGCCGTGGCCGCTGATAGAGCCGCATCGGAGTTTCCGAGAGGACAGCGGCGTCGGGGTGTTCTGAGACAACCTGGCCCCCCGTGGCACCAGGGCGCAGCCAGGCCTGGGCCGTGGCGGCCCGTAGGGAGAGACCAGAGCCGGAGCGCGACCTCCTGGGCGTCTCGGCCCAGCGCTCCTGCAGCGACTGTGCTCAGCTCTGAGGCTGACGGTGGAAATGGAGAGTAAGGGAAGGCGGGGAACTGGCCCTTCTCAGCTGTGCCTGCGGACGGCTTGAGGCAGTCTCCAAAGAGACGCCGTGTCCGAAGGTGGGAGAGGGTGTCCTGGCGCTGAGCGCCCCTGCGGGCATGACTCCCCGTGGCGGTCTCCTTCCGGTCTTGAGATGGGGTCGCCGCGCCTTCCGGCAGGTACTTATCAGTTGGGGAAACCCCAGACCCAGCTGTTTATTATTAGTCTCCTGGGTGGGGAGCTGCTAGCTCCTCCAGACCCCCCTAAAGCAGGTCGCGGGGTCGAGACCAGAAATGTGTCCTTTGAAAGGGCTTTGTGGGATGACTGTGAGGCTTTCCTGTTCCAGAACAGCGGATGTGGGGTGCTCCTGACAGCCTGAATGTCTGCGCTCCCTTGATCTGCAGTTCTCAGCCGGGTACAGCTTGTTTCTGGAGTCTGCAGGCAGTGAGCATGCGCCTGAGTGCCTGAGCCCAGGCTTCACCTGCTGGGCACTGTGCAGGCTCAGGGCTGGCAGGCACGTAGGCCCAGGCCCTCTCATGGGCATTATACCATGTCCAGTGTGGGCACAAGGCGTCACTGATCAGTCACTGGTCATTAATGCTGGCTAAGAAGGGACCAGCCTTGAATACATAAGTTCAGTGGAAAAAATGGGTCACGAGGAAGTTAATTTTTTTTTTTTTGAAGATTTATTTATGTATACAAAACTGGGGAACAGACCGGTGGGGGGGTGGTGAGGGGATTCACCAGAGACAGAATAAGGAGCAAAACAGGCAGACTGACTGAAACACTGTTGAGGGGAGCAATGGGGAGATAGGAGAGGTCTGCTGCGCCAAATGGGTCACTCCCTGGCCGGGGATTGAACTGGTGTTGCAGAGTCTGGGATAGTGCTGTGCTTTAACCTGCTGTGCAGCCAGGGAGGGCCCCCAAGGAAGCTTTTTTTTTTTTTTTT